AAGGATTATTGTTTCAGTGGCTTTGCCTATAAGTAGCAGAAATCTACTCATATGCACTGATATATTGTTCTATACTTCCATTTGAGGAAAGAGATCTCAATAAGTTGAGATGCGATGGGTCAAGCTTGAGACTTCCTCTTGCCAGAATAGTTCCTGGGCTAGCTTTACTACAGAACAAGTCTGCTCCGGGATAGAATCTGGACCAGCTTCACTGAAGAGCATGTCTACCGCCTTTTCAGAACCACATTTAAGCATCACTTTTGAAATTGAATCTAATCTCCAAGAATTGCTACTCTCTCACCAAATGATCAGAGCTCCTCCCTTTGTAACCTGCAGATTGCAGTAATAGAGTGCAAATAACGGATGCTTGTCATTGTTTCAGATTCTAAAAGGGCTTTTTACTGCAATGCTTCTGCTGTTCATGTTTGGCTATTATTCCCTGAGCTACAGCAGTGGTGTTTAGTGAAGTGTTTCTATAACCCTCACAGTGACAGCAGCTCCAGGGAAATCTGTGTCCATTTAGCTCAATACCCACTAACGTGGAACAGGAGCAGATACTGTACAACACAACATTACCATGTGAGATTACTTTCAGGGAAATAAATAAAGCAAGAGTATAACTAAATATTCTCAGCACCTGCATGTCACCTTGTTGCCCCCAAGTAACATGAATAAATAGAGCTGCACTCCCTGCTTTTATGAATCTATCAAAAGTGTTATCATAACTTGTATAGGAATAATAGTCGCAGTCAGACCTCATATAAATGGCTGAAGTACACTATCTCAGGAGCATTAATGGAAGCAGTTCTGGTACTGAGTGGAACACTGTAAATCTTTAATCCTCCCCTCCCAAACTATCATCATGTTCATGCACACACATACTACATCCTGGAATTGAACAAATATTACGTTTTCTGGTTTTGCAAGCTGTCATGTTTACTAGCTGTAAGATTGGAGGGAGTTAAATATATTTTGCTCAAAGATCTTCAGAACTGTGGCTAACCTGACACAGGATTCATATGATAGCAGCATGGAGCACATGCAGTCTGGACTGTGCAGCTGTTCAGAAAACAAACAGAATTGGGCTTTTCTTAATAATCAGAAATCATATGCTCTTGTGGACCTGGGAGATGTGCGGCTCCCTGTTGTGGTGCTAATTCACACTGCCGTTGACAGCTGGATGGAGAGGTCTTACCCAGTTGGACTGCAGATCTTTACATCTGTGTCTGCTGTTCAACAGTGGTTCCATTATATGTCATGTGTAAACACAGATGTACCAAAACCTGGGTATAACTGCACATGTACAGAAGGAATTTCCTTAATTATGCAACTAATAACCAATCAGTTATTATTGATACGGTTCATAAATAATTTTTNACATTATCTAGAAGAGCATCTTTCTGATATAAATCGCTGAGATAACCTCTGGGCCTTCACCTGTATGACTGATTTTTAGGTGGAGAAAGCCACCGCGTGAATTGAGTTGCCACACAGGTCAATTGGCTTGGGAGATGGTGCATGAAGGAGCAGTTTTGACATTGTAAATAAAAACAAATTGCCATTGATTGACCAGTTAGTTAAAAGAGGACATAAATTGAGGAATAATAACAGAGGAAGAAAAATAATAGGAAAGTTTAGGAAAAATACTTTTTTTCACATAAAAGGGGGTTGCCGGGATTTGAAATGTCACACATCGCTGTTGAAGGCAGGTTTATAAGCAGCATTTAAACATATTTAAAAGTGGATTGGTAAAAGCATAAAAAATAATATGAAAAGGGAAAGAATAGGGAAATGATCTAACAGTAGATAACTCCAGCGGGCTACAGTCAGCGGCACAGTCACAATTGACCACATGGTTTCCTTTCCTATCGCTTCGACCATTATATGATGATCAGTTGTAATAAATAGATTGTGGCCATTATATGTATAATCGTTGGTTTGCCAGTTATCAAAACATCATTAACTTGTGTTTGTTTAGCTTCCCAGTGTGGAATTTACAAAATTGAATTAGCTTTTGCTGTAGTAATCTGTCATTTCCTATAAGGGCATAGCAATGTAATGGATTCTCTATAAAACATTAAACATGCTCAACAACTCTTGGTTGAGCAGCAAGAAAATTGTTTTGTGATACTAGTGGTGCACTGTTCAGTAAAATTAAAGGGTAATAATGGTGAGATTGCTTTTTGATAAAGGGTTATACAGTTGAAACAAGGCCCTTGTCTATAAATCCCTTCATGGCCTAGCATCTCCCCATCTCTTCAATCTTTTCATGCCCCATTCTTCTGCTCACCCCTCCACTCAGCTAATTCAGGCTCTGCACCCTCCACCCCCTTCAGCCACTACACCGCTGGAAATCCCTCCCTTTACCCTTTTGTCTCGTCCTCTCTCCATCTGCCTTTAAATCCTGCCTACAAACCTACCTCGTTGACCTCACCTATGGTTCCCTTCCCCTCCTCCCTTGCTTGGCATCAGACTCTGTCTTTATGAAGCTCTTCGAGACATTATCATGTGTGAAGGATGCTATCTAAATGCAAGATGTTGTCATTATTGTTGTAGTAATTCAGACACTCTGTGAGTGGATTCCATGTCCTGTCATAAAAGTCTGCCGAGTTTTAGCACAATAATGAATCCCGTGTCCTGTCACTAAGCTGTAGTGTGTTTGCACAATACAAACAAATCCTATGTCCTGGCACTGTAGTGTGAGGACATGGGGTTTATACTGTGCTGTTGCAGTCTGTCAGTACAGTATCAAAACACTGGACCATTTCATTGGACCACCAGCAATTCCTTTCTAATGTATTTGAAACAGTGTTAATGGGTTTGGTTTTGGATGGATGAATCTGAGAAAAGAGATATTTGTGTCTGCAGCAAAATGTCACGATTCACAGCTTTTAAAAATCACCCTGTGAAAAAGTCCCTTCACAGTTCAATTTCCACCAAACTTGAATCCATATACTATGCACAGAGTCTCCTCATGTTTCTTTCCTCTTCTCTCACCCCCCCAACACTTCCTCTTTAATATATAGACAGTAAATTCATAGTGCTGCCTACCTGCCCCGGGTCTCAAAGCACTGACAGGATTGCGAGCTGCTAAGTCAGGTGCAGCTGGAGACAGATGCAATGTAATTGCTTGCCTCACCTTATCCTGACAAATATGCCTAAATGAAAGCCTTAGGAGAATGGTCCCGGATGTATGTCTTTCCTATTTCCCTGTATTTCCAGCCTTACCTTGTGGCCTGTCTGATTGATATGAGTGGCAGATCTGACAGCTCCTGAGTGCAGTTTCACCCTGTGGGCACACATAATAATAATAATCCTTGCATTTGATATTGCGCCTTTCACTTCTGGAGGACATCTCAAAGCACTTCACAGGACATACTGTACAGTGCAGTAACAGCATTTTGTAGGCAAGTGCATCAGCCACAAGCAGATGAAACAACACTCCAAACCCTCATTCATTAAAACCAATGATTTTCTAGTACAGCATTCAGAACAATATTTGAGGATTCAACAAGAAAACAACAATAAATGTACACTCATAGAACATCTTTCACGTCAGGAGGAAGGCCCAAGTCAGGTCCTCCCGACTTGCCAGTAGAACATAAGGACACAGGTTTAGAGTTGCAAAGAGCAATGTCAGGACTGGCACCAGGAATTTTTTCTTTACCTCGAAGGTAATTTATGACTGGAACAGGTTGGCAAGAAAGGTGGTTGAGGGCAGGACACTGGACTCATTTAAAAAAGCAGCTTGATGCAGTGATGCAGGATGGTAGGGTGGGCATTCTGAAGGGAAGAGATCAGGTGGGCCAAAAGGCTTTCTTTATCCAAACCAGTGTTGTGATCTTGTGAGATCCTTAGTGCAGCCACCTGTTCCCATTGAACAATCAGAGATTTTGCATATGGTTTTATAATTCCATATTTGTGTGTAAAAATAAAGATAATCTATATGGAGTCCTGTAGCTCAGTGGTTAGAGCACTCGCCTTGCAAGCGAGAGGACCTGGGCTTGATTCCCAGGCAGCGTGAAACACTGGGCATGTTTCCTAACTCCACAAGCCTCTGTTTACCTGGCAGGAAGTTGGAACCGGTTGTTAGTCGATTGGTGGATGACTTTTCTGGGGGTAATAATCCCTTAAAAATAATAAAAATAATAATTTGGTCACTCAATCCACTACTGTTTGTGGGACACTGCTGTGCACAATTGGCTGCCGCGTTTTGCCCACAAAATATACAGTCAAATATACAGTCAATTCACATCATAAGGCGCTATATCAAATGCAAAGATTAATTTTATTAATATCTAACTTAATAATATCTAATAGAAATCAGGAATGGTGTTTGGAAATACAAATGTGCAATACAAAGATTTGGGGTCAGTGCACCTTGTGGTGTGAGACTAAGCCATACAAATCCTCGTCTGTGCTCAGCTACTGATCTCAATTGGGACAAGGAGTAAGGATGTTATAAATAGCCTCCGTGACCCCTAGGCTAAGGAGGGAAGTTATCAAACTCAAGTTCTTGTTTGCATCCAGTTGGAAAAATGTACCACTGACAGGCGTTAATGTAATTCCTCTCTTGTTGTGTAAAATCCCCTTTCGAACCACCTCACTTATTTATGTATGTGCTGTGAAGCTTGAAGATAATACCAAACTGACCTGGCAGCCTACAGACAGTGTTATCATATTTTGGTGACATTTCATGAATAAGTTTATAACGTGTATCATAACACTGGAAATAACCATTGAATGTGACCCTTATCGAAGCAACGAAACATAAAGCTTTGGCTTGTGCATGGTGAGGCAGGTGCTATCCATATTCTAGGGTTCAGAGTTTCTGTCAGAAACCAAGCCAGTGTTGAGGGGAGCATTTATTAGAGAATACGATGTATTTTCCATGTCAGACAGCGAGGTATTGATATTTCTGCTTAACAAATGTGTGCTTTTGTTTGGATAATTGCGCAGTCAGTTTAATACATTTTGTTTTCCTTTCTGAATTTCCACAGGGAATTTGGTTGGAGGGATCCTGAGCTACCAGAGGTCATTCAGATGTTGCAACATCAGTTCCCTTCAGTGCAGTCGAATGCAGCAGCTTACCTGCAACATCTGTGCTTTGGAGATAATAAAATTAAGGCAGAGGTGAGTGAACTGTACGAACACTGTTTTTGTTACTGCAGGTTTTCTTTTTCTCTTTATTGAAAACGTCCCATCCTTGAGAATAATAAGTTGCCATGGTGCAACCTGCCGGTGCTCTGCAGTGCCTAGTAATTATTTATCCATTAGGTGATTATCCTAATGATTTTCCTTTCCAAGTGATGGGACAAAACCTACTTATAATGTGCATCAACAAGATAGTTACAGTCAGTATTTAATCCACACTTCAGCAATTTAACAGTCATTCCGTAAAGTAATTATTCAGAATGAATCGAGGTGTCATTTACTAATCACACTTATCTAATGGTGTTCATTCACAGTTCTCCATAGGTTGAGGAGATAGATATACTGGGGGAGGGGAGAAGGACAGAGCAAACAGTGCAAATGCAATATCTTCCAGTGAATAGATTGCATTCTTGGGTAACAGCAGAGTTGGATGTTGCTGTTTTGTTTTGTCTTACCGCAAGCATTTCAGAAATAAGATTTTGCTGCCTCTCAGGGGATAATTGCTATAAATTGGCTGCAAGCGAGCCCTGTTTCATTATCAGTTATCACGACGCTGTCAACTCTGAGGGGCTGCCTCTTCCCTTCCAGTGCTATAGCAAGCAGGAAGGATTAATTGGTGCACATTGAATTGTCACACATCTCTCGGACATATTCTGAATCCTTATATCTCTTTAGCGCCTCGTGAAGATTTCCATCAGAGGAGGGGAAAATGATTAGATTATCTGATGTGCCAGAAATTACATCAATATTAATCTGAGGAATTCTGCAGAGCATGAAGTACCTATTTAAATCGATGGGATGTTTTGCTCGGATAAATGTCTTTTAAAGAAGCAGCATCTCTTCTTCCAGGAGCTGTGTTATGAGCTGAAGTTGAGCCATGAGCTCAAGCTCATACTCCTTGCAAACCAGTCCAAATGAATGGGAGGAAATCTATTTGTCAGCTAAAAATCATTAATCAGAATATATTGGAAGTCAAATAACTTATCGACCATACAAAATTTGTACTTTTTTTATACTTTTGAGGAATTTTATGGAGAAAAGGCACTTTATAATTCTTAATTGTTGCTGGGTGCAGTTTTTCAAGTTCGCTTTTTTTTTTGAAAATATAGGAGGTTTATCTTAAGATTCAGAGCTGTGCTGAAAAATCACATTCCCAGAAGACATACTCAAATTATGATCTGGAGACAGCTAGGAGTACAGCTCAGGTAGCAGTTTCAAAAAGGGTTGTTTAAGCCCTTGAGAAGTGCAATGAGGTTGATCCCTGGGGTCAGAGAGATGTTCTATGATGAATGATAGACAAGCTTGAGCACTTTAGCCTCAATAAGAGACATCTACGGTATAGAGGCATTGCATGTAAGGTAAATTATTATAATAACAATAACATTAATTCACCCACAAAATATACAGTCAATCCACTTCACAGTAATATTCCGTGAAGAGCTTTGAGACGGTTCGATGACGTGATAAGGCACTATATCAAATGCAAGGATTAGTATGAATTATGTTAATAATATTGTTAATAATAATAACAATAATAATCCTTATATCGTGGAAGCCTGTTAAGATTGGGGATGAGCGTTTTGTCCGGTTTAAGAGGCGCCTGAGGTTAACCAAAATATCTTTCAGCCCAACAGAGGAGAGTCACCAACATCGTATAATAATATGTAATAATAATAATAATCCTTGCAGTTGATATAGCGCTTTTCACGTCTTCTCGACGTCTCAAAGCGCTTCACAGAATAGACTGTAAAGTGAATTGACCGGATATTTATGGGCGAAACACGGCGGCCAATTGCTCACAGCAGTTTCCCACAAACAGTCGTGGATTGAAAACGACCAATTTACTATTGTTTTGTTTTGGAGGGATTACGTTGTTTCCCTTGAAGCAAGGTTAATTAACCAAACAGGACGCCAAGTATTTTAATTTAGGAATGAAAATACTGTACTCTCACAGAATACAGTAAAATATATTTACTTTGTTTGGATGCAAAATACCTCCCCCCCCCCCCCCCCCCCCCACCCAAGACCAATTAGCTATGGGGCTGAGATGACTGACAGCTTTGTTTGGGCTCCACCCATTCACAAGTGGCTCAGCTGTCAATCAATCACAATTTCCCTCCCTTGTTCTTCCCTGTTCCTCCACCCCCCCTCACTGATTGACAGCCCAACTTCAGCCGCTTGTGAATGGCTGGAGTCCGCTGTCAATCAATCTTAGACTCTGCCCATCTCCATCCGGGAACCCCACTCGTGGCTGAATGGAGCCGTTCGACATACAGAAGGCTCGAGTGAGGACCTTCAGTAGTCATCAGCGCAGCACTTTGCCCGGTTTAACCAGATTTTTTGTCCAATTCAATCGCCATATTTAAAACAGGTAAGAATATGACTGAATTAGGGCCGGCCATTTTGTTCGATTTGCCCAGGGTTCGGGGTTAACCAGATTCCGGCAAAAGTGGATTCCACTGTATTTAATATAGTGCTTTTCATGCTGGGAGGACATGAAACAGGATATACCTTAAATTTTGTAGGCAAGAGAAAGTAAACCCAGAACAATTCTGTACTTACCAATGTGCCAAGACAGAGGATAAGAGTCCATGTTCAGATTTGTGAAGGGTAGGTTTGGGACAAGGAAGTACATTTTACACAGAGGATGATCAACAGCTGGAATACGTCAGCAGGAAGTGTGTTTAAGCCTGGGACATTGGATCAATTTAAGAAAGTTTGATACTATTATTGGGAAGATGGGAGGGTTGACATATAATGGTGATGTACAACCTTATATTGGATATGTATGATTTGCAGAATAGTAAAAATTCATCCTTTAACAGATTGTGAGAAATCTTTTGCTACAACAACCAAGATTACATACAAATGATCTGTTAAAGGAAGAATTTTTTGCCTATTGTGGTGCTGCAACATCGGTGACATGTTACACTCTTCCACATTCAAAGGCTATGTATCTCCAGATCAGTTGAGTGAAGTGCAGTTACTGCTACTTCTGTGGTTTCAAAAACCAAACATTATAGCCAGAACAGCACCTGGAAACTGCTGTAGTATGTGAGCCCAGCAGGTGGAAACAAACAGGTAATGTTTGGCTCACTATCATAACTTTTTACACTCAATACAAACAGCAAAGCAACAGAAGGTTTTGAGCCAGAAGTATAGCTGAAGAAGACTGTTTACCCATAATTACATTCCGTCATGGCCATATTTCACATATTATTATTATGTGCTGTATCCAGGGATATATTTCTATACTGTCCTTAAGTGCCAATTAGTGGTAATGATTCAGATATCCACTAAACTGCCATTTAATAGTTTCCTCTGACTCTATCATGAATTGCAGTGGACTGAGGGTACTTTTTTACGCATGCTCTTTAATGTACAATGCTCTCACCATTACGCTCTATGAAATGCACATAAGGACACCTTTGTGTAGTTCCAGACAGAGTGGTTTTAAGTATCCTAAGGAGCCTGATAATTAGATGCACAATTTGAACTTTGCCTGCCTCAATCTGCTGAATATATGGCTACGCAAAAATGTTGGGAGAGGGATTAAATAATTGATATTCCTTTCTTGAGTTTGAGATTCTCCACCAGCTTTTTGCTTCTGTACTGTGGTGAGCAATTTGTTTCTCATGTGTACACCTGCACCTAATCCAATGTAGGCCATCATACCCACTCTTGAAACGTTAATCTATTTTCCTCTTTCATTGTTATTACAAGGCAGCAGTCTAATCTGGGGGTGATGGGGTTAGGGATATATATAGAACGATAAAATGCTAGATACCTACATGTGAGTACAAGGCGATAACTTGTTCAAGGGGTCACGTGACTTCATAAGCCAGAGAGTGATGTAAAAGCACCATCTGAGCTTTGACATGACATTGACATTTTACAATGAGTGTTGTGGAATTCCGAGTGTATAAACAGCCACAGTACTCATGAACTAGCATCAGCACTGAAAGATTGACTATTCTGATCTCAACTCAAAGCTTGCCGAGTGATGATCAGCATACGATTACAGGAGGGGAAAGTCAGTTTATATTACGTTCAAGCACCCAGCTGAAATTGTGCCCTGTAGTATACAAATTGGTAGGAGAACTCTTGCAAGGCACAGTTCAGATTCTGACTGACAATGTAGTAAGTCTGACGCCAGAGAGTCTGTCCTTCATATCACCAGCCATTGCCAGATTTGGGAGAAGGGTAGTTTCTGAAGTCCAGGTAGTTCTTGGTTTGATTCTACAGAAGGCATATTATGTTGAGAGCACCACACACCATGTCAGGGTGTGAGATCACATCATGCCTCACACCAAGATCTTCCAATATTACAAGTGCTGAGAGAAGCTTTCAAGCCAAACTATGATACTCACCCACCCACAAGGAGGGAGGGAAATTAAAAGAATGTCAAGATACTGTGAGACAACAGAGACTGACCAAGATCTAGTAGCAAATTTTGCTGGTGTATTGTTGGCAAAGACACTGGTAGAAATCCCTTTCTCTTTTTGGTGATGATTCAGGGATCCTCAACGTCCACTTGGACAGGCAAACTGGACATTGGTTAAATGTCTCATCGAAGTACACCACCTCAGACAATGCTGTGCACCCCCAGTATTGCATCAGTGTGTCAGCCAAAACTATCAGCTCGAAAGTTTCGATGAGGGGCTAAAGTTTCTGCACATTGAACAGCAAAGGTTTTTTCAAAGGTTAAAAGAAAGAAGCATCTTTAAAATTGGTCAAAAATTATTTTTTTTAAAAAATGCAAATTTCAATAAACTCTATTCTTTATTCAAAAATTAATTTTCGAATAAGCGGTATTGCAGCTTGTTCTTGGTCGTAACTAAGAGTAGAGTTGTCCTTTTACAGAAGAAATAGGTTTAGAATGGTGGATAAAATGCATGCATCATCCCATTGACGTATTACTGTTGTCTGTTAAATAGCTCTGGCTGTTTTCATGGTCAAGGTTTCTTCATGTTAGGAGC